GTCTCCGGAGAACCTTAATAAGGTTTTCGCTTTATTGAGGGTCTCGGGAGAACCTTAATAAGGTTTTCGCCTTATTAAGGGTCTCGGGAGAATCTTAATAAGATTTTCACCTTATTAAGGGCCTCGGGAGAACCTTAATAAGGTTTTCGCTTTATTAAGGATCTCGGTAGAACCTTAGTATGGTTTTCGATTTATTAAGGATCTCGGTAGAACCTTAGTAAGGTTTTCGATTTATTAAGGTTCTCGGGAGAACCTTAATGAGGTTTTCGCCTTATTAAGGGTCTCAGGAGAACCTTAGTAAGGTTTTCGCTTTATTAAGGGTCTCGGGCGAACCTTAATAAGGTTTTCGCTTTATTAAGGGTCTCGGGAGAACCTTAATAAGGTTTTCGCTTTATTAAGGGTCCCGGGAGAACCTTAATAAGGTTTTCGCTTTATTGCGGGTCCCGGGAGAACCTTAATAAAGTTTTCGCCTTATTGCGGGTCCCGGGAGAACCTATATAAATTTTTAGCCTTATTACGGGTCCCTGGAAAATCTTAATAAGGTTCTCGCTTTATTACGGGTCTCGGGAGAACCTTAATAAGGTTTTCGACTTATTACGGGTCTCGGGAGAACCTTAATAAGGTTTTCGTCTTATTAAGGTTCTCCCGAGACCCGTAATAAGGCGAGAACCTTATTAAGGTTCTCCCGGAAGCCGTAATAAAGCGAAAACTTTATTAAGGTTCTCCCGAGAACCGTAATAATGCGGAAACCTTCTTAAGATTCACCCGGGACCCATAATAAGGCGAAAACTTTATTATGGTTTTCCCGTGACCCGTAATAATGCGAAAACCTTATTAAGGTTCTCCCGGGAACCGTAATAAAGCAAAAACCTTATTAAGGTTCTCACGGGACCCGTAATAAAGCGAAAACCTTATTAAGGTTCTCCTGGGATCCGTAATAAGGCGAAAACCTTATTAAGGTTCTCCCGGGACCCGTAATAAGGGGAAAACCTTATTAAGGATCTCCCGGTACCCGTAATAAGGCGAAAACCTTATGAAGGTTCTCCAGGGACCCGTAACAAGGCGAAAACCTTATTAAGGTTCTCCTGGGATCCGTAATAAAGCAAAAACCTTATTAAGATTCTCACGGGACCCGTAATAAAGCGAAAACCTTATTAAGGTTCTCCTGGGATCCGTAATAAGGCGAAAACCTTATTAAGGTTCTCCCGGGACCCGTAATAAGGCGAAAACCTTATTAAGGTTTTCCCGGGACCCGTAATAATGCGAAAACATTAAGGTTCTCCAGAGACCATTAATAAAGTTTTAGCATTATTAAGGATCTCCCGAGACCCTTAATAAGGTTTTCGCTTTATTAAAGGTCTCGTGAGAACCTTAATAAAGTTTTAGCTTTATTGATGGTCTCGGGAGAACCTTAATAAGGTTTCCGCCTTATTAAGGGTCTCGGGAGAACTTTAATAAGGTTTTCGCTTTATTAAGGGTCTCCGGAGAATCTTAATAAGGTTTTCGCTTTATTGAGGGTCTCGGGAGAACTTTAATAAGGTTTCCGCCTTATTAAGGGTCTCGGGTGAACCTTCATAAGGTTTTCGCTTTATTAAGGGTCTCGGGAGAACCATAATAAGGTTTTCGCTTTATTGAGGGTCTCGGGAGAACCTTAGTAAGGTTTCCGCTTTATTAAGGGTCTCGGGAGAACCTTAATAAGATTTCGCTTTATTAAGGGTCTCAGGAGAACCTTAATGAGGTTTTCGCTTTATTGAGGGTCTCGGGAGAACCTTGATAAGATTTCCGCCTTATTAAGGGTCTCGGGAGAACCTTAATAAGGTTTTCGCCTTATTAAGGGTCTCGGGAGAACCTTAATAAGGTTTTCGCTTTATTAAGGGTCCCGGGAGAACCTTAGTAATCTTTTCGCTTTATTGCGGGTCCCGGGAGAACCTTAATAAGGTTTTCGCCTTATTGCGGATTCCGGGAGAACCTTAATAAAGTTTTCGCCTTATTATGGGTCTCGGGTGAACCTTAATAAGGTTCTCGCCTTATTACGGGTCCCTGGAAAATCTTAATAAGGTTCTCGCCTTATTACGGGTCTCGGGAGAACCTTAATAAGGTTTTCGCCTTATTACGGGTCTCAGGACGATCTTAATAAGGTTTTCGCATTATTAAGGTTCTCGCGAGACCCGTAATAAGGCGAAAACCTTATTAAGATTCTCCCGGGACCCGTAATAAGGCGAAAACCTTATTAAGATTTTCCCGGGACACGTAATAAGGCGAAAACCTTATTATGGTTCTCCCGGGACCCGTAATAAGGCGAAAACCTTATTAAGATTCTCCCGGGAACCGTAATAAAGCGAGAACCTTATTAAGATTCTCCCGGGAACCGTAATAAAGCGAGAACCTTATTAAGGTTCTCACGGGACCCGTAATAAGGCGGGAACCTTATTAAGGTTCTCACGGGACCCGTAATAAGGCGAAAACCTTATTAAGGTTCTTCCGGGACCCTTAATAAGGCGAAAACCTTATTAAGATTCTCCCGAGACCCGTAATAAGGCGAAAACCTTATTAAGGTTCTCCAGGGACCCGTAACAAGGCGAGAACCTTATTAAGGTTCTCCTGGGATCCGTAATAAGGCGAAAACCTTATTAAGGTTCTCCCGGGTCCCGTAATAAGGCGAAAACCTTATTAAGGTTTTCCTGGGATCCTTAATAAGGCGAAAACCTTATTAAAATTCTTCCGGGACCCGTAATAGGGCGAAAACCTTATTGAGGTTCTCACGGGACCCGTAATAATGCGAAAACCTTGTTAAGGTTCTCCCGGGATCCGTAATAAGGCGAAAACCTTATTAGGTTCTCCCGGGACCCGTAATAAGGCGAAAACTTTATTAAGGTTCTCCCGAGACCCTCAATAAAGCGAAAACCTTATTAAGGTTCTCCGGAGACCCTTAATAAGGCGAAAACCTTATTAAAGTTCTCCCGAGACCCGTAATAAGGCGAAAACCTTACTGAGGTTCTCCCGGGACCCGTAATAAGGCGAAAACCTTATTAAGGTTCTTCCGAGACTCTTAATAAGGCGAAAACTTTATTAAGGTTCTCCCGAGACTTTTAATAAGGCGAAAACCTTATTAAAGATCTCGGGAGAACCTTATTAAGGCAAAAACCTTATTAAGGGTACCGGGAGATCCTTAATAAGGCTAAAACCTTATTAATGGTCTCTGGAGAACCTTAATAAGGTTTTCGCCTTATTACGGGTCGCGGGAGAATCTTAATAAGGTTTTCACCTTATTAAGGATCTCGGGAGAACCTTAATAAGGTTTTCGCCTTATTAAGGGTTTCGGGAGAACCTTAATAAGGTTTTCGCCTTATTAAGAATCCCCCGGAGACCTTAATAAGGTTTTCGCTTTATTAAGGGTCTTCCAAAGACCTTAATAAGGGTCGCCGAAGGTCTTTAAAGACCTTAATAAAGTTTTCGCCTTATTAAGGTCTTTAAAGACCTTCCTTAACACTTCCCCCGCGTAAGCGTGATCGAAGTTATCCCACGCGTGCGTAAAAGTTTGCTCATGACCTAAAAGATTCCCGCACGTGTACTGAAATCTACATATTCTCAAAAGGACTCCCGCTCATGAGCAGAAATTTGCACAGGCACGTTAATTCTCACGATCGTACGCAGAAGATCGGGCATTCGTGAAAAGACTCCTGCGTGTACGCAGAATGTCGGGTATAATTTAGAAGACTTGCGCGTGCGCAGACGTATCCGCCACTCATTCGCCAATGCGCAGACAAATCCGTAAATTGTAAATGCGTTGCCTTTTATGCATGCGCATGTGTATTCGCATACTCATTTGCTCGCTTATACGTATGCGGATGCGCAGACGCTTGTGCATTCGCCAACTTTCGCGCATCTGTAAAGGCTCTCGTACAATGCTAAGAAACAAGCAATAATAAATAGAATAGTAGAAACTATTCATCTATATGTACGGAATAGAAAATATACGCCAACGGGATCAGATAATAGATATCAGGTAATAGATACTATTTCTGTTCTTATTGGCTATTGTTTAGCATTATGCAAGGGCCTTATACGTACGTGCATGCGCAGTCGTTTGCGCGTGTACCAACTCACGTACATGTGCAAGCTCACGCGGATTTGCAGATGTACACTGCGCGACAACGATTCGTTCCCTGGCCCCTCTCTCGCGGGGCAAGGGGAGTGTTGAAGTGACCAATCAACTGGCAGCGTGGCAATGGCTGATTGGTTAGAGGCTACGCTCCCCTTGCCTCGCGAGAGGGATCACGGAACGAATCGTTGGAGCGCAATGTACATGCAAACACATGTGCCATATATATATATTTGACGCATGCGCAAAAGTGTTACAGTCGGCTAACCGTGCGAGAGAGAAGCTCGTCTGCACCGTAATGCTTTTGCTCATATTCCTCCTAGAGAACTTGCAATATAGGAGTACTATATATATGACCGAGCGTCAAAGTTGAACTCAATCTAACTTTTGTGTTGGCTCATCGTATCGTCTTCCGCCGCGCGGCAAGTGTTGCCGCATCCTGTGTGCAGGAGCCCTCAGTAAATATCAGTCACAGCCTAGATTTTTCAATGTAATTCGACGCTGATTGGTCGAATCTGAAAGTAGAAACCAATCATATTTGATTGCTACGTAACGGTTGATTCTGCTAAATGCGGACTTTTACTTATCTAGGTTACGTTCCAAAACGCAACCTAGGAAAATTTTATTCGACGGCTGATTTGAACCAATCGGAAACGCTAAAAGAGTTTCGAAACGGCTATCGAAAAAAATTTTCCTCGGAGAGTACGTTTTGGAACGTACTCCTAGTGACTTTATATTCTGAGACGAAATATAGAAGTTAACTATCTATTTTCTTGCACTATCTATGGATTAAATTACTGTGGATACATATATATACATATTGTACAGTCACAGTATAAGAGTGCTGTAGTATGTTTGAGGCAACGTGAAAATAGATTAAATTTATAACAAAATAAAGATGGAAACGATATTGGAACAACAACGACGATATCACGAAGAGAGGGAACGATTGATGGATGCAATGGTGAAAGAGATGTTGCACAGAAAGACAGGTCATCGCGAAAATATCAATTCGGAACATCGTCTAAAAATGTTACTGGATCAATATATGGATAGTACAATGCATTTACAGGATTTATATGAGGATAAAGATGGACAAAGGAAAGAAGAGGTACGTTCATATAAAATTGTGTATATTTCTGCTTTCGATTAAATCATTCAAATATTTTATTAATCTGATGTTTTAGGTTCAAGCACTCTCTGGTCCAAATGAATTCTCAGAATTTTACTCGCGTTTAAAATCGATAAAGGAATTTTATCGGCGACATCCTAATGAAATCAGTGTCCCTATGTCTGTTGAATTTGAGGAATTAGCTAAGATGAGAGAAAACCCAACGGAAGAATTGTCCAATCTTGTTGAATTTACAGATGAAGAAGGTTATGGGAAATATCTTGATCTTCATGAATGTTACCAAAAATACATTAATCTTAAAGGAATAGAAAAAATAGATTATATAACTTATCTGTCAACCTTTGATCATCTATTTGATATTCCTAGAGAGAGAAAGAATGCCGAGTATCAAAGATATGTTGAATCTTTACTAGGATATTTGACAGATTACCTAAGCAGAGTGAGACCTCTGCTAGATATTAATACAGAGATTGCAGAAGCTAATAAAGATTTTCAGACTCATTGGGAAAAGAGCACATTCACTGGTTGGCCCAAGGAAGCTGGAAGTGCTTTGACTCATGTAGGAGCACACTTGGAGTTATCTGCATTCTCGTCATGGGAAGAATTAGCGTCTCTTGGTTTAGACAGATTAAAATCGGCTTTAATGGCTTTAGGACTGAAGTGTGGAGGTACACTTGAGGAACGAGCACAAAGACTTTTCAGTACGAAAGGTGAAGCCTCTTTAGATCCCAATTTATTAGCTAAGAATCGGAAGGGAAAGTCAGCTAAAACTAGAGATTCTGAAAAGCAAAAGGAAATTGCACGTTTTGAAGCTCATGTGTATAGACTCGCTGAACTAATATCTAGTCAACGAGTAGCCACAAAGGAAAATGTACAAAGAAAACAAGCAAGAACTGAGGGTGAAAGAGGTGATTCTGATGCAGAGGCAAGCGCGAGTGAATCAGAGGAAGAGGATGACAATGAGGTTCCGTATAATCCAAAAAATTTACCCTTGGGCTGGGATGGAAAACCTATTCCTTATTGGTTGTATAAACTGCATGGTTTAAATATCAGCTACAATTGTGAAATTTGTGGCAATTTCACATATAAAGGTCCAAAAGCATTTCAGAGACACTTTGCGGAATGGAGACATGCCCATGGCATGCGCTGTCTTGGCATTCCTAACACAGCACACTTTGCGAATGTCACTCAAATTGAAGATGCCCTTGCGTTGTGGGAAAAACTCAAAGCACAAAAACAAGCAGAGCGTTGGCAACCTGAACAGGAGGAAGAATTTGAAGACTCGCTTGGCAATGTAGTCAATCGTAAAACATATGAGGATCTTAAAAGACAAGGCCTGCTATAAAATAAAATATACAATAAATTTTATTACAATGTTTAATCATCTGTATCGCCAGTTTTTATAAAAACTTTTTTTTCATTAAAGTGTTTTTTGCCATAAAGACATTTTTTCATCCGTTTGTCTTGAAACCTATTAAATTATGTTAATATCACATTTGAAACTTTACGCATTACATACACTCATATATACATGTACTTTTCATTTTTTAATGTGCTTTGTGTTTTATGATCTTTATTTAATTTTAACATAATTATTCTTGATTTATGACTTTTCGAAATTTTAGGTAATAAAAGTTTGTTTCCTTAAAATCTAATATATAATATTAGATTCAAATTCTGATACTAAATTTTGATGTTACAAACAAGAAAAATTTATATGAATCTTTTTTTCTCGCATAATACGTTAAAACCAGTCAATTTTTTAATTATTTTGCACTTTTAATGGAATTAAATTGAAAAAATATATTTTTTTATCTTTTTTCTGTTTGTGTATTAATAAATAGCTAGTAAATTTTAATCGATATAAAATTTATTTTCATTGGAAATATACGATATTTGTAAATAAGCTGTGCATAAGGTGTGCAGAATGATAAAAGAAAAAGTTTTTGCTACACTCAATCAGTTCATATTATCGAATATGCATGAAAAATGTAATCAATTTTGACGTATATATTTCACATATATAAAAAAAATAATTCCAGCAATAAAACTCTTGATTTAATATGGCTAAAATAAGTAATAAATGGAAATGTTTAAAATAAGTTTAAGGAACGTTTAAAAGATATCTAATGCGTTAATATTTAATAGAGAAATATATATTATTAATTTACTATGTATAAAAGCCATCTATTTAATTAATACTTTAAAAGTGATACAAACTGTTAGAAAACATTTGATAAAAAGTTATATAACAATTTCTCAAAGTTTCACACAGCTTTCTTTTTTTTCTTGTCAGTTATTAATAATCGATAGAAATACATAACTAATTGTCATGCTTCTATCTATTTCATTTTCTTATTCATATTTTATCATAAAGATAAAGACAAGGTATGTGTATGGACACATGTAATATTTAATAAATCTTATTTATTCAATCTCTCTGCATTAAATAGTATTGCGATGAATATTATATGTGGAAGGAACATTTAATGTACATGAAAGCGCAATAATTATGATCGCACATTAATTTAAATATCCAAAATCACTTGTCTCATGATCATAGCACGTAATATAAGCTACTGTATTTCTGACAATACTGTATTTCTACAGTCAGAAAGTATAAAAGTAATTATTTCAAATTTACTATTTTTTCATACTGAACAATTAAGGATTTTTTAAGGAATACGTATCATAGAATTAAATATCTTTTATGCATATATTTCTAAATGTCAAAGTAAATTCCGGCATATCTCAAGCTCTTATAACATCTAAACGAAATATGATATGGAAATAAATGAAATTTTACAGAGTTAGTTTTTGCTCAATTGCGCATATCATTGTTTTATATTTCAAGTAGAACTTCTCGCGCATTGTGTCTCACATATGATCTTTATATACTATTCAAATGTTGTTAATACTAGTTCCATACTCAAAATGTAAAACATTGCAAAAAATTTTTGCTCTACAATTACTAAAATTTCATTGATACGTTTACACATATGTTCCATTAATTAAATTTTCTTCAATATGTATTTAATATAATAAGTGTGTAACAGAAAACACACGTTCTTTCAGTTTATGTTTATGCATTTTCTACGTATAATCATTGCTACAGAATCATATATCGCATTATTAAATAATGGGTTATTAAAATTAATCTCTAAATTTATATTCCACTAAATTGTTTAGTAACTGAATTTATGAGCGTCAAATTTTGAGTTTTTATTTAAAATTCTCATCTAAAATTTCGCGCAAAAATATATTTTGATATCGTAGATTAATATCGTAATTAATCATCACTTTTCATTATATTTCTAATTTCAAACGTTGTTTTAAACTAGCCAGTATAAACTAATATGGATAAAAAATATTCCTATCAATAATAAAAGATTTTATAATTAGTAGCGTTTAAAGAGTACATTCATGCAAAAATGTATACTTTCTATATTCCATTAAGAATATTCCCAAGTTGAATAATTCGTCAATAACGAATTTAATTACCCACATTATTCCATATTGATGTATATGTATTATATATATATATATATATATATATATATATATATATATATATGTGTGTGTGTGTGTATATTTACAGTTTGTTATATATAGTTTTATAAAAAAAAAATGCAATAACAAATATAAAAGCAGTTTTATATATCGACAAAATATCTAACGATATATTCTGTTAAATAACATCACAATATTTTGGAAATTGAAAAAAAGAGGAATATTTATTAATTAAGATGCTTATATATGTTTCCACACTTGAATGAACTTATATTTTGTATCTTAGATGCAGCTTTTAATGCACTAGTGCAAGATAATCAAGCATTTAAATTCGTTATAAAATATACATTGCATGCATGAATGTTTTGTATATAACTGATGAAACTGTCATTTTATACAAGAAGCTTTGGATACACGCATTACAGCAACATCAATGTTGCTTTAGAAGGGACGGATGTCTTATTTTAATTTCTTTAATTTTTAATATATATATATATATATATATATATATATATATATATATATATAGAGAGAGAGAGAGAGAGAGAGAGAGAGAGAGAGAGAAAGTCCCTGATTTGTTCTTGCAGCTGTATTAGATTCTAACATCAAATGTGGAATCATACCATATGATATGAAATCATATCATATACTGCAATATTTTATATAGAAATAATTTACTCTTGCAATATAGTTGTAATAAATTAGCTTTTTCACATGCTATTGTTTGTATTCGATAAAATAAGTTTGTGGAATATGCCGGATTCTTTCTTTGATTAAAAAAAAATAAATTAAAATTCCTATATCCTCACTGCAGTTATATTGGATTATGAAGAAATCATATGTTCATAATTCAATATGGTTATAATGAGGACATACAAGTTTTAATAGGTAGATGTAAATCTTAATTTTAATCTTAATTAATCATGAGATACTTATTTTCATTAGAAACATAGATTACATATAGACTAGATTACACAGCCATTTATTAATCCTCACATGATGGATACATGTTTTTGCTGAATGCCAAAGGATAAATCGTCATTTTAGCCTTTTCCTTCGTTGCCCCTTTCTAATTGCCTAAAAAATATAATTTATAAATGCCAAGGAGAGATAAAACTAGCGAATGTTTAAATAGTTCATATTCAGCAGTAAATAAATCCGGTGCATCCAAATAAATCCAGTATTTATTAGACAGAGGAAAGCTATAAGAAAAGTCTTCAATGTATTTTATTGTTTTTATCGAATACCATTAGGAGTATACAAAAAGAAACTAATTTATTTCAATGAATAGTGCAAGAAAAGATTCTCGTATAATCTTCCGCTGTAGATATCATAATAATTCAATAGTAACACTACTAATAATTTCCGAAGTCTTACAAATTAACGGTATCCTCCAAGATGCGATAGTATGGTGGGCCGTATCAATGAAGTGTCTTCTCGATAAAATACTATCGAAGAAAAAAGGACTTAGGCACGATAAATCGCATGTTGTCGAAGTTGCAAGAAACAATGACTTTTTTGTTTCTTATTCGACGCTGTCTACAACTGCATTGTCATCTAGAGTGTGAAGCCAATTGAAGATCATCATGTTCCTTTCGTACTTGGACAACTGATTTCCACGTTCTCTTTCAACATCCCGGACTGTCAATGCGTGATTTCGCTCCTTTCGCCCTATCAAAGAAGTATTAGGAATCCGCGCGGCTGTTCCGGGCACCAGTAAAGTAGTTCCATGAGAAGTTTGCGCCGCGGTAGCCGCTGCTTCTAATTGATCTAAATTAAATTCACTCTGCGAGAGACGTTCCAAAGCGCGATATGTGGTAAGTAATCTAAAATAATGCAAATAAAGCATCATTAATATATTATATTAAAATAAAGATGTAACAGCATAATTTTAAGAAACGCATTTCCAGTTATATTTATATCATTCAAATAAGTCAAATATACATGAAACCTCATAATAACAAATCTCGAAATGTAGCACGCAAAAACATTTCTATATATGCTAAGCTAAATTAGGTAAATATAAGATGCAGCGTGAATAGAAGTGCTCGATACAATCGCACAATATGCGCATTTGTGAGCGCTATTGGGTGCTTTTCATTTAGCGACACAAGTCGACATTCTTTTTTCAGTGAATAGCAAAAATAGAATGACACTTGGTGTCGACTTGTGTCGCTAAATGGAAAGCACCCATTGACATCTGACATCTGAATATATTATCTGAACACATTCAGATGTCAATGAGCGTATTAATAGGCTGATGGCAGAGAATGAGACGTAAGCACTTACATCTATCGCAGTCGTGGACGTAAAGTAAGACAAAGGAAAACGTATACGTAAATTGCATAAATATACGTTTTTCTCTGCCTTACTTTACGTCCATGACTACGACAGGCATAAGCGCTTCATCTCGTTTTCCGTCGTCAATCTTTTAATGTTATATTAAGTCCTTTCCCAGCGATGTGCGATTAGAAAGTAATGTATAAATGAGATCACAGACGATTCCTTGAATTTCATGATTTTGAAAGTAAAGTGAGAAATAAATTCACTTGTTACAACCCTGAACCGCGCGCTATTGAGAAGTTCCAAAATGTAATTTAATTAAAGAAACAGATAAGTTAATATAGTTTATCATAAATATAAAAGAATTAAAAAATTGTTAATAAATTTTAATTTTGCGTACTTGATAGAAAGCTCGCATGTATAAACATTTTATTTCCAAAAAATATAAATAAAAAGGTATACATATTTTGAACATAATAAAAGGAGAAGAAACAATATTATCAGTTACTAACCTTCGTCGTATATAATTTTGTCGGACTTTCTTATTGACGGACCTAACTAGATCCGCTCCTGTAAAGGGCACAGGTGGTGGCGGCGGTGCCGATGGTTGCGGCGGCAATTGCGATACCGATTGAGCGTTCGAGGAAGATTGTTGTTGCGCCTGTTGCGGTTGCGATAATTGCTGTTGCTGTTCTTGCGCAGCTCCACCATGTGGACTAGGAAGCTGAGATGTACTTGCTACAGGTTCACCTACAGCGACCCAAGTGCTGCAAGATCTTGAAGCATGATCAAGTCTAGCATGCTCCAGCAATAGCGTATTGCGCTGGACGGTGTCAAGAGCCAGAGCAGATACTGCCGTTCGAAGATTACCGGCTCCGGCGGCGTCTGGACTCGGAAGCTGCGATACATCGCTCGTGCTGAAGCTCTTGCGCAATCCCAATGCTGATGAAAGAACTCCACAACTACGTATTAGCTCGTTTTCTTCTTCGAACCAAAGAATTTCAGGAATATCCGCTGGTCTATCAGGATGCACATAGTTGAATAAACATGGAATAATCTCTTTCTGTGCGATAATAAAAGTATAATATAAAATAACACGTAAACATAGTACGAACCTGTTACCCTGAATCTGTCGAGAGTCCGGTTTCGGAGAGGGTCCTCGTGCGGCAAGCTGCGCGTCACTATAGGATTTAAAAGTGACCAATCTATTGGCACCGCGCAAATCGCTTGCGATTGACGAAACGCTGAAGAGTGACAAGTCAGTAGTAACGCTCTCATGACTCGGCGAGCGCAGCATTCGTGAAGTAACTTGCAAGGCTGAACATTGCGTAGTCATTAGACTATCGCTACCACTGCCGCTGCCGCCGCCACCGCCACCACTTCCTCCTCCTCCTCCTCCTCCTCCTTTTCCACTGCCACCGCTACTGCTACAGCATTGCGCGCACATAACTGTGGGTATTGGCGAAGCTGACT